CTTACCAAGGTGACCTTTTATTTGAGGTATATTAACTGTTGTTTAATGAGCAAAGGGGTAATTTATATTAAATACTAGATCATGCATAAAGAAGAGAGTTGAGAGAACATATGGTGAAAATTTCACGGCAAAATTTACCTTACTAAGTAATCAGGAAATTTAAGAAGACTGATGAAAATGTAATTAAATAGAAAATATAGGTCTATCTCTACCTTGCAAACCAGATTGTGTAATTTGTGATGAAACATAGTCACTTAATTATGTAATTGTTTAATAATTTAACAACATGTTTAAATATGATTATAAAAAATTAAGAAAAAAATTTGATCATTATTTATACTTGTGAGTTAGACTAGGGCTGATTTTAATCAAGGCAAAGATTAGATAGAGTATTAATTTGCACACAAAGTCTGAACATATCTAAATTTTGATACTATTCTAATCATTGATATAACATCATTAAGAAGCAAAAAATGTTTTTGTTATTCATCCATACATCTACAAAGATTGCATAGATTTATGGATGAACAACAATTTTACTATTTCATAAGCCTGTCTATTTAAAGGATTTCCTTTTTTGGAAACACTCATTATTTTGGAAAAAATCTCAAGATTCAGTAAAAATGTTTGTGACTGACTGTTAAATCCATAGATCACTCCCCAGTTCTTTTTTACTTTCTCAATTATCCCCCAGGATACAAAGGATTCAGTTTGGAGTATATATGGTAAGCAATGAAACTCCATTGTTAATTTGATTGCTCATTGATATTAGCATCCACCAGTAACAATTGCATAGACATTCATTCATTATCAGATTATACTGACCATTATTAACATGGGCTTTTTTTAATTGATAGCATCCTAATGAGGATAAGTTTATTTAATGCTTGCAGTCTATATAATAATATCTTTAACAAAAAGTGATTACAGGTAACCCCCATATAACACGGCACTTCTATAGCACAGATTCACTCTGACACGGTTCGAGAATTGGGTAAAACCCTCATACAACAGGAAATGTAATAAATTTTTACATACTTAAGTAATAATAGTTCACGAAAATTACTATTTTTGTAAACTATTAGTACTTAAGTATGTAAATTTTCTCTTCTCGCCTTCTGTCGATACACGTGGTCCTTCTCGAAACTTGTTTCAATGTTGCCAGATCGCGACGCTTCTGCTTCTGATGTTGCCGAATGTTTTTCCCTTATTCCATACTTGCTTTATTCTTCATAAGTGCTTAGCACCATATAAGGAAATTTATAAAGACCTTTTAACTAGAAGCAAGCAATCTAAAATTACATACATTTTGCAAAAGGTAAAGCATGGATCTGAAGATAATGCAGAAAAATGCTCAGAGGATAAGGATAACTTGCCAAAAAGAAAACGCTCTCGGTTAATTAATAGTGTTTTTAGTGATGACGAAGAAAACATTGTTTAATTTATATTAATATGTATCACTTAAAAAATTTTTAATGAAGATATTTATCTTAATTATGAAAATATACTAGCATGATTTTTAATTTTTGGAACCTAACCCTCCTTTTCGTATTAGTTCTTTGTTTCATATAAAACGGATTCGCACAACACGGCAATTTTTTGGAATGTAACTACCATGTTATACAGGGGTTACCTGTATATTGCTTTCCTAAACAAAAAGAAAAAGCAAATCTGGATAGCAAAGTTAAAACTTTTGTTTTATTTAATATTTAAAATTATGTACATTCATTTAATACAATTATAACACATTTGCACAATGCACAATACAAATTAATAAAATTACAATTAAATAAAATTCTGGAATGCAGGATTATTAAATAATTTAGGATTTTTCAACGCTGTTACCCAAAGTTCACATCTGAAAAAACATGCAAGAAAAATAACTACGTAATTATAGTCTATATATAAAATTTTATCAATAAATATGTTATTTTATCTATCTATGCTAATATTATAAAGACGTAATGTTTGTAAGTATGTATGTAAGTAAGTTTGTTTGCAGCAGGTAATCTCCGAAACTACTCATCCGATTTCAAAAATTCTTTCACCAATATTTAGAATGGAACTTCAGGGTGGACATAGGCTGTATATTATTCCGTTAAACATTCATATAAATTAAATGATATCATATATGGTTAAGGCTTTTATGTCCAATAGATGGCGCTATGAGTACGACGCCCTAAGTTTGATTTTCTGTGAGGCATTACGCTTTTCTGTGAAAATGAACTAAAACGGATCATCTTCTATCTATTTATATAAATAAAATTGTAATGTTCATTTGTTCCTACCGATTCCTTTGAAATTTTGACACAATGCTGCATTCGAATACGCACGTGTTTTTATATAATATACATGTCGAAATTCAACCCCACTGAAGGGAGATGGTTAGGATTAAGGCTTACGGTAAAGAACTCTGCTTCTATTTATACTATTTTAGATGCGGGTTTTTGCATTTTAATAGGGTACGTCAATAGAATGTACACTAACAAGAAATTTTTCGATATTCCCCCGCGGGGAGAGAGACAGGATTAAGGCTTACCGTGGAGAACTTGGCTTCTATTATACTATTTTAGATATGGGTTTTTGTGTTTTGATTGCGTTTTAATAGGGTACGTCAAGAGAATATACACTAAGAAGAAATTTTTTGAAAAATTTCCTCCCCACGGGGCAAGTGTTATACATTTATAATAGATACATTTTGAGTTACAACAACACGTAGCGGGGTCTGCTAGTTAGAAATATAGTAGAAACTGCTTATTGTAATTGTGAACATTGTTTTGAATCAGCACATTCTAAAGCATGAAAGTTAAAATACACTTATAAATCTGCTTATTGTAATCAAGTTTAATTATAGTTATCATCATCTTAGATAAGTAGGCATTTTTAAACTTTTCACACTTTCAGTCTCAACATGAGACTAATAACAGGCAATTATTATTAGTGTAGGTGATTCTGAAAGTGATTATAATAAGTCGATTTTACTCTATATCATTCTATTTTCAGTTTATATTTGTTATAGCTTTGTTATGATGGCATTTTCAATATGTATAAAACAATTTTATCATTTCCTAACAATAAATTTGCCACATTTTTTCTGGGTGTCCTACCCAGATGATCTTTCTGGTTGCCTAGCTGAAAAACTTCATGAGAAGTATATATAAAATGTGTGACTTTTTTGTATTTTTTGAGTGTAGTTTAATTCCAATTTGTAACATGTTTACCAGAACACATTTAAAATTTAAACAAATACTAGTAGACACCACCATGCATTATTGTGGCTCAAAATGAATCTATTATAAATGTATAACACTTCCCCCATGGGGGATTTTTCGAAAAATCCCTTCTTAATGTACATTTTCTTGACATACCCTATTAAAACGCAATCAAAAACACAAAAAATTGCATCTAAAATAGTATAAATAGAAGCAGAGTTCTTCACAGTAAGCCTTAATCCTGTCCATCTCCACCCCAGTGGGGGATTTTGACATGTATATTATATAAAAACATGTGCATGTTCAAATGCAACATTATGTCAAAATTTCAAAGGAATTGGTAGGAACAAACGAACATTACATTTTTATTTATATCCTCACAGAAAAGCAAACTTAAGTTGTTGTACTCACGGAGTTAGTGCCATCTGTTGGACATAAAAGCCTTAATCCTAGATGATATCTTTTAATTTATATGAATGTTCAATGGAATAATGTACAGCCTATGTCCACACTGAAGTTCCATTCTAAATATTGGTGAAAGAATTTTTGAAATCGGATGAGTAGTTTTGGAGATTACTGCCTACATCCAAACTTACAAACTTTATCTCTATAATATTAATATAGATGCATTCTTTCCAACAAGTCAATTAACATCTCCATGAATATCTTTTAAAAATACTGAATTTTTACATATTTTAAAAAGTTTTAAAAGTGGGTATGTTTAAAAAACATATTCACATAGATGTGTGAAAATTTTTGCTTTAAATAAAACCTAATAAAAATCTCTAAATAAATGACACAAAAAAATCAAATCAAACTAATTTACTGTTTTTTTTAAAAAAAACAACAAAATGACAAAATAACAATTTCAAAACAACAGAGCTGCCAATTTCAAACCAAGATTTCAAAGCTGTTATCAACAACCTTGCTCAAAACAAGAACGTTATTTATAGGATGAGGTAGTCTGATTCACCTGGCCATTTTTATCAACTACCTGACAAAAAAATTCAAGAAACAACACTGTGTTGTATTGTAAATGATTCTTTATGTGATTATTAATTAATACCATTTCTTTATTTGTTATTTAGGGTTATTTTAATGATATTTATCAATATAATTTTTCAGTAATTTTCAGTTTAAATGATCTCTGTACGAAGTTTATTCTATATATCACTTTATAAAAATAATAAATATTGCATTATTTTATAACTGATTTTATTTTTGTATTGGTCAAAAATTTGGATTATGGTATTGTTTGCAAATTTTAACTTGTCATTATTTGGATCTTTTCTTGAATATTTTTTTTATGATGCATTATGTAAGAATCAGAACAACAAAAATATTTATTGATAAGTGAGAATATTTTTAATACATAACAATTATTTAATGTAATTTACATTATGTGAATAATAATGAGTTATAGATTGAGAATATCTAATTATTTAATGTTTTGAAATTATTGAATTCCTATATTTATAATTCATTAAATTATAAATTTCATTATTTTAAATTAGGACAAAATATTTAATAAAAGCTTTTTATGTCTCATACAATTAAAAGAAAATTCATCATTAAAGATTTAGTTAAATTAGTTTAATTTATATGTTTTTAAAGTAAAAATCTGTCCAAAACTTTTATAATTTTGTATGTGACTTATCAATAATTTATTAAAATGATTTTTTTTTTTGAAATTTACATGCTATGCTTCTTAAGAAAATTTTAAAATTTTCTATTATATTCATTGTCAGATTTTGTTGTTCATTATGTAGCTAATATTATGATTTTTAGATGTCAGGAATAGAATCTGATATGGATTTAGAAGAAAGTGATGATGATGGTTATGAAGATTATTATAATAATACTGATGATGCTGAAATTGACCAAACAGATCCACGAAAAATAGATCCTGAATATTTTGAATATGATTGTTTGACAATTGAAGATATTGAAAGGCTTTTAAATGAGAATGTTGAAGCTTTATGTGCCAATTTACAGGTATGATAAAAATTTTTTATAAATGCTTGTGTATAAAATTCTTATGAAAGCAACTCAAAATTTAACATAATTTTTAGAAAAATATTCATGTAATAAATGATTAAAATGCCTTGCTAAACAACTAATGAAATTTTTTTTAAGGTTTGGTTTTAATTAAAAGTCTTTTTTTATCTTAATGAAACATAAACAGAATAAAGATATATTCATGAACATGTAATTCTTATAAATAATGTTCTGTGATTTATAAAATTTATATTTTATTATATATAAAATTAAGAATAAATTAAATTAAACATATAAATATGACATGAGATTAAATACCAATATATGACCCAAATGTTTCAATGATATACATGTTTATCTTTAAAATTCAGGATTGCATAATAACTACAGCAGAATCTCAGCTTCATAATTTGTTTAAAAAAAATTCATCTATCTTTGTTTTGATGCCACTTTTCTGCCTATTGAATACAACTGATAAATATTAGCAATGTTGCATATAGCCTGTTGTTTGTTTATGCTGAAACTCATCAGAAAGATCTTCACAACATGAAAAGACTGGACTATGCTGAATTTTGGCACTACACTTGGACCAGCATCTTAATGTTTACTAGGTGACACCTCTTCAATCATATCAACCTGGTGACTGTCTTTGTACATTCTTCAATTGTTCATATTCCAGATATGACAAGTATATCATTTAACTCTATAGAATTCCAGAAACACCCAAATATTAACTAAATGTTGAAAAAAATGTGAAATATGGATGGGGCTAGAAAAAAATGTTATTGCAAGTTACAGATCCACTAAAAGGAGGTAAAATTACATTACTTTGACGGATCATGGGAAAAAATTTTTTATTCTAAGAAATCCTTTGTCCTGTGATCTGTTAAAACAAGATTCTACTGTATTATCAACTGAAAAGCATTTATACCTTGAAATGTTTACTGGAAATTTTAAACTGGTTGAAAATGTAGGAACTACAATAATCACATGATCAAGATTCCATTCCCTTTACCATTTTGAATAGATTTGTCAGTTTTATGAATATACACTGGAATTCATTAGTTTATAAAAGATGGATTGGATTGCTTTGATTTATTGGTGAATTGGCCTTATGGGCTATACTATGCCATCAGCTTACAAAGATTCTGTCTTCAATATATTTTTTAATATTGAGAATGAATATTCATTCTCAATCTTGTTTACCGCAGAAGTTATAATTTTTTAATATTGTAGTATATTTTATAGCATTTTAGAATTCATTTAATACCAAAGAAGTGTTACATATTATACAGTAAATGGACGAAACTTTTTGATATACCACAATATTTCTTGCAAATTCTGTTAATCATTCAGAATTTAATTGTTCTATTAATTTGAGCAAAAGTCTAGATGGAAATAAAAATGAAATTATTAGTTTTTTAATTTTTGACTTTTTAATTTATGCAAAATAATAATAAAAATTATCACTGTTTAGATGTTAATAAAATCAAAAGATATCAATTTTACAATAAATACAAGCATATCATAGTGATGACAAACAAAACTTAACCAAAAAGTAAAATCTGATAAACATTTTTATTTTAAAAACTGAGTTTAAGTCAAATAAATATTTCTTATAATTTTGTTTTTATTTAACTTGTTTAAACTCAGTTTTTAGAATAAAAATGTTTATCAGATTTTAGTTTTTGGTTAAGTTTTATTTGTCACTATAATATGCTTGTATTTATTGTAAAAATTGATATTTTTAATTTTATTAACATCTAAACAGTGATAATTTTTGTTATTATCTATATATATATAAAACTAGCTTACCCGTCGTTCATTGCTGCGATCTCAGAAGAAACGAAATTCAAGCAAACTCGTTATGATAAAATTCAATTTACATTTTATCATTTTTATTGAAACTTGTTATTATTATTCATTTTCATTGGGAAAACATTTCAAAGTGTCGTTTCAATTCTATTTATTTATTGGAGTGTTTGTGGATACACGATATTTTTTGTTTTTCC